CCAGTATAATAAATAAATGTTTGGGTTTTACGCCCGATATTGCCGCCAAGTATTGCTTCAGACAACCCGCCCTTTTCAGCAGGAAGTGAAGGATGTGTACGCTTGGCTTTGAACCTAGACCACCACATATCAGTTCGTAGATTATAGTCGGACCGCCATAACCACAGACGAAAGTCAGATCACACAATACCTCGCACGAAATATACAACTGATGCATGCGTTGAAAAACAGGATTGACCACCTTATCAAATGAAAGAACAAAATGACAATACAACTTTAGGTCAAAGCAGGTTGTAAAATCGCAGACGACCATTGAACCTTTGGAACAATAAGTTTTTTCCCAGATTGGCTAGAATAACCAACATTACATTGGATCCAATGAAGATGTCGTGTGTGACCGTGAAAAGGTGAATGTACTGAAGCAGGTTGCTGTCATGTTGCAGTTCTGTATCAAGTTAATTGGATGGAGGAAAGGCTTATTGTACATAAGTTGATTTAAGCATTAGATGAGTTCGGTTGCCTAAACGCTTAACTTTTTTATGGAAATGAATTTTGATGCAGATTCGTGAATCATTAATTAGAACTTTGTTGAGTTACTCCACTTGTGCTAGCCAGCGGTATAGCTTTACACCGGAAGGGACACTTTTTGGGTCAATACCCCTAAAATGGTTACCGTCACAGTCCAGTTATTTTATGAGGTCTCTCGCAGCTTCGTAGGGACAAACAACTATAAGCATCTTCAAAACACATCGTAACGGTCCACGCCCTCACAGCAGACAGCCTTTATCTAAAGGAGATCGCTATCAGAATCGATGTGCTTTGCTCTAGAGTTGGTCAATGCGTTAGGTGAAAGCAACGTTTTAATTCGTGGCAGATTATTGAGCCGGCATTCAAGAAAGCAATGCAGCTGTCCTTGCAAGGATTCATTGGATTGCAAGGATCTTAAACTAATTGACCCGGTTGATCGGCAAGCGTAGGTAGAGTACACCGCTTGCCGCTCCTATTGAAGAATAGAATCAACAAAAAATAGCTATGTGATAACAACAGTATTGGAACTCAGTTCTACTGGGTCCTCAGTACTCAGCAGTAGAAGCTATTCTTGCCGGTGTCCTTTTTGTCTTTAGGTACACTTTAGCAAAACAAGTAAATGTAGAGTTTGAAGAAAAAGCGCAGGCATTTCTCGTAGTCGATGCGAGAAGGGCTTTAATTACTTTCCCATTCATATGGAGTTAAGATCGCACTGTCACAAGTTCCACATATGTACAGAAAACTTATAGGCACCATGCCGCTCGTAGCTTCCAGGTACCATTCTATAGATGCCACCTAAATTTATCAAAAGTTGAACAAACTAAACTAGATCTGTGTTCCAATGTTTTTATGTATACTCTGATGTGCGGTTAACTTGGAGAATCATTAGAGAAGACATTTTATCGCTGGACGCCAGCTTTCCAAACAAAAAACAATAGGCCACGTGTTTGGTCGATTCTCTTAGTAAGAACAGAAGTTTTTTTTTAACAAACAGTTTTTTTATTTGTTCAGTCATTTTCGAAACTTTTATTATCAAAACATAGAAAAAAAAAAAAAAACTCTTGTGTGTAAGAATGGAGGATTGAAAGATTGGCCACGTGCCCGCAAAAATAAACTGAAACAATGACTACTTCAACGTCCGAACGAAACATGAAACTGGTATTGGACTACCCTAAAGAAACACGCAAAAAGCTTGTTTATGAAAATACGCAATCATTCAATTGCAAATGCCCACGACTGAGTTGGTTGCCTTTTACAATCCTAGCTGAGTTTTTTTTGAATGTGAGAAAGGTCGTACATCAATCGTAGGGCATTTTTTTTTTATTGAAGCGAACATAATATGTGTTTGGACTGATTTTGTGTCAGACTTAATGCGCAGAATAAAAAAGAAATTAAGCGTAGATCATGAAATCGTACAATTCGAATCGAATTAATTTGACATGAGTGAAACCACCACTTGTTCTTTACCATTGACAGCGACAGCGGTGCGAGCTTACAACTAGTTAAGTAGTACAGAAACGCAAAGGGGGACGAGGACCACTTGTCGAAACACGTCTGCAGTGACATATTGAACAAATTGCTATCTCAAGGGAAAAGTGCTTAGACCAAACAAGTGAGGTGAAATTCTTGCTTGGTTTGCTTACTTGAGCCACCGGACGAAAATCAGCTACTTCAACCGAACGAGAGGTTTGTGGCTCAAAGTATAAGAACAATCTCAGAAAAAGTAAGTGGAGAATCTGGTAGGAAGTTAAATCGTATTGAAGAATCGCTGCTTTAAAATGAAGAATGACGGGGAAATAGAGAATTAATGGAAAACAATTTCGATTTCCTTGCAAATACAAAGAAGTGACATTAAGTGGTACAGGAAAGAGCTCTACTGAGAAAATAGAAACATTCTTTAGACTTTTCGCGTGTTTTAAAGAACAAGTAAAGTTTACGAAATTCGGCTACCTATGAGAATAAGAAAACTCTGTACCGAAATATTAATACGTAAACTTACCGATGATTATTTTACGCCTGTTTTCATTTCCCATGCCAGATCAAATCGACCGATCTTAAGTTAAATGCAAATCTTCGATGATATTTCAATGGCGATACGATAATACTGAAATATGTGCAGCTCCAAAAGCTTTATAGACGTCCAACTTGATCCCTAGTGGTAGATTATGTTGAAGTTCATCATTTATCGCCTCTCATCAGTTCCAGTGGCTAAGACTGCCTGCTACAACTAATAGAATGGATTGCATCGCGCTAATGTGTCCCATGCATATTCGCCAATCATTTTAAATGTGTCACATTGGCAATTACATGATTACCTGGGGGTCGTTTCTAAACCTTTGTGCCGCCTGGCAACGAAAAGCCAAAATCAGCTTCTGATTTTTTTCAACCTATTGCTGTCAATGTACTCTGAGATTGAAGTTTATTTTACATCTAATTGGCAAAATAATTATCGGTGAAAAGTCGCCTGTCAAACGTGAGAAGTGAACAAACAGAGCAGAAAACAAAAGCCAAATATTCCTTAAAACAGATTGAAAACCATTATAATCATTAAGATAAAGCTAACCGTGAAAACTCAAGTTTATCGGCGCATGGCACAAAAATATAGTATCATAATCAAGTTATAACTTATTCTTTTATAGTAATACCTTAAGATAACGCGGATAAGCGTATATGTTGTCCTACCCAAGAAGCTAATTTCGTTTCTAAATATTGTAATCTTCACTGAAATAATGTTAGAAAAGGCCTAGCAATAATATCTATTCAAGTAAAAACCAAAGGAATAAGTAATGCTCATAGGGAGAATACACTAGTAAGCAAAATCGAATACGCAAAGGCCATTCGGTATTTATAAAGAATGTGATAAGATAAGATCGTAAGGCTTTCTTACTTAAATTTGAAAAATCCATTAATATGAACATGTCTCCGGGCTCATCCCAAAATTTGCGGCGTCATCTAACTGCAGCAATATAGAAAGCTTGAAGTTGCTTACGACATTTCTGCTTCTTGAAGTATTCTTGAAAAAGCAAATAAGCAATTATTCTGTATATCAAACGAACTTCATTTATGATTGTAAGAGAAGGTCGACGACATTCAAACTGAATGATTAGACCTGAAACTTCATAGCAACCGCTAAATGACATTTGGGTTCAAAATGCTTGGGAGCTCTTATTTTTAAGGAAATCATCTTTATGTGGCAAAGGGTTTGCGATATGTTACATATACATGATTCATACGTATTCTTACAGGCTATAAAGTGTCACTTTTTTAATTTTACGTATATAATAATAAATATAATATTAATAATAACAGTAATTAATTCGGAGCGTGGCTCAAAAGTGGCAAGAGGAACATACGCTGAGCGTCAACCTTCTCAAGCAAAAGAAAATGGAACTTTAGAGATTAAAGATCAGGCCTATTGACTAAATTAAATACTCTACTGATCTTGATTATCTTAAGGAGACACTGCTTTATCTTTTCTATAAATCTGGCTCATACCTAAACATTCAGAGTTTCAGACTCGTGGGGAGCACAGCTAGCGATCAAGGTGTCCAAACAAAGGAAAACACTTAAGGTGTAATTTTAACAAATTATTTTATCGCCATTGCCGACGGCTTAAACACAGGCACATCAAAATGTCTACAGTCATGATTTAGACACAACTTGGGCCTTGTAAGGCTCACTCTATTCGGAGCTGAAAGTGTAGTTCAGTCTACAGCCCAAAAAGCTGTGCTTTCATTAACACATGTCCGGTTACCAGTAGCTTCAAACAAATTTCGATTTGCCAAATAAAAATATGCCTCGACAGATTTTCTCACGCCTGCGTTTGTATATCAGCAATTAAGCGCACTCTAGCATAGCCTATTTGCCCCGCTCGCATCGCGTTCTTTTCTTGCCCACGACTGGTGCTTCTATATAGTGCACCATAACTGTCTGGTTTAAGCGTTCCTCTCGTGAACCTTCTACAGATACAGCAACACCTTGATAATTTGGAACTTCCTAATAGCTCTTCTCTTTTTTTTGACTGAAAATACAAAATGCAATTAAAAAATAAAGTAGAAAGCGCTCTCTAATGACTATTAGAGCAAAAGGCATTTACTTCGACGATTTCTGCACACTCCAACCGATGACTCCTAAAGAAGCAAATAATTAGTTTAACAGCGTTTTCCTACCGATAGAATCCTAGACCTGCAGGCAGTTGGTAGAAGTTGAGAACTAAATTAAAGAAATAGTCAGCCAAAGCATTGGCATTAGTATGAATTCATGATACCTAAGAAAACCGTATACGTGTGGGAAAAATACTAACAACCTCTGAAACGATAAGTACGCTTGATTTACGAAATATAGTGGCGACATTAGCGACGTCTTATATTACGTTTTGTTTAGATTCACGCAGGCTTCGTGTCTGTTTGCGACTATCTGAGCCTTTAAAAAGAAAAGCAAAAATAACGGAATGTAAAATTGAAAAGAAAATCTGCACTTTACCCAAGTATTTTTATTACAACCGTGGTAACCTAAGTACTTTGAGTATATAGAGTGATGGCAAAATAAGTATAATACCATTGATCTAAGCCTATCGATCAATTAAAATTAGTAGACATTGAGATAGTTAAATTGGACAACAGATCTGTTCCTATCTACTGTCTTTGCGGTATAATAATTTTTTTGCCAAAGAAACAAAGGTAAAATTAACGTGTAATTCGGGTACTCCTTTTATATACTCTAATGGCCGTAATATCCTTGTATGAAAAAGTGGTCTTGAGTAAATCGTCGCCATGAAGTTCACGAACGATTATGATCTCCTTATCGCCTAAACTTCGTTGAACAAGCTTTCCGTTTTCTAATGTACATGTAGTTTTTACCTAAAACAAAAAGTAACATTTAAAACAATAGATACTAGATAGGCAACATGCTGAACTTAAAGCCGTTTAAAAAGGGCAGCTTGCTTACACATAGGTAACAATTATATTTAGCACAGGCGAACGTATTTCTCTTATGTATGAAAGAAAAATTAGTAGTTTTCTTCCATGATCCTAATTATTTAAGAACTTTAATAGAACATCTGGGTTTAGGCAAACTGCATTTTCATGCTAGTCCTATAAATCCATACATTTTCCACTCAACTATTTAATATGATACTTGTTTTGTTCCGCGTGTATTATTTTCTCCAAATTTAAAAGATGAAAATCGTAGATATATAACTTTTCATTACGAATAATAATTTTAAGCGAACGTATTTTTCCATTAATAGACGGAGTCTACATATATAAAAAACAAAAAAAAAAAAAAGATTTTATCTCGATTTGAAGAATTTTGTTTCAGTATAATTTGCAGTTAGATTTGAATCAACTTCTTATGCGATGTCAATGTTGTTCGTTATATGATTCAGATAAGGTGAGATAGGGTCTCAATCAGGTGTCGCCGTTCATTCGATGATGCTTTATGTACACTACGTAATATTTAAAGTTCAATATAGGGGAAGCGCAACTTGTTTATAATTAGTAAACATTTCTAGCTAACGAAAAATAGCTAAAAAATTGATAGACAGAAACGCATTCGATATACTCACCCTGACGCCATCGAGTCTTGTCTCAATGAATTCTTCACCGAGTGTGAATTTCAACTCATGCGTTTTCAACAACGTGTGCGTCTTTAGAGTCCACTGATTTCCATTTATCGCAATTTCAATAGAAGGCTTCGAACCTGATGAAAGTACCCTCCATGTAATGCCGACGTCAACCGCCTTCAGAAAATCTTCATAATCCACCGACTCAACCGTTTTCCATATTCCATTAAACAGAGAAATAGCTTTAACCTCGGTGTTTCCAGGCTCGCTCATGGTTATAGCACACGATTTGGTATATCTATAGGTTCAATCCCTAAAATATTACATTGGAACGTTAGCAATGTAATGTTCACTGAAACATTCGCTATTTTATTTTAAATATTATGCAGAATATATGCATTTTTTACACACTGACAGTACTAGCGAAAAATATGCGCGTGTTTAGAAAGGGGGAGGGAGGACTTTAAACAAGCTAGTAATACATGGCCTGTGGTTCAATACTGCGGGAAGACATCTAGATCTGTCTTATATACAAAAAGGCTAAACTATGGGAAGGTGGCTAGTTATATTTGCTACTGGATTGAGTATAAAGTTCCCGTTAACAGATAGCGTTTATTCGAATGGTAATATCTAGCTGAAACTTTCAAGGATGATTGCTTTGAATTTTGAGCCGTCGTGGAGCTCTAGGAGGCGCGTATCCGACATTTTCTACTTCAAAGAAAAATAATTGTTTGCGAAGGCAAGCATGCAGCAAAGTTTCCACTTGCCGCTTTAAAACTAGACATTTCGACAAACGATGATCCGACCGGTAAAGAAAAACAAACGACGGAGGACTGCAGGCATCCCTTAAACGTGCGGTCAACCCCAGAGCTAGTTGCACAGACGGAAGTAACCCAGATGATTATAGATAAGGTCGAAAAGGAAGTAAAGTGAACTTTACAGAAAAGGACCTCGGACTGGCAAAAGGGTGACGCAATCCAGCGTAAACAATGGCTCGAACGAAAGCCCCTTTTTTTCGTTAAAATTAACTTAATTTGCGCTATCAGAGTTTTCAAATTTGATGGCTCTGTGAGCGATAAAAGACCTCCAATGGAAAACCTGTTGGATCCGGCGTACAGTCCGCACATCGTTCCATCTGATTATCAATTGTTTCAGCTAATGCAACTAGGCAAACACTTCAAAACAGAAGCCGAAGCCCGCTAATGGGTCAACGAATAAACGATAAAATGTATTGTATCTGTCAGCCGATACCGAAAATGCACATTAAAGCGTTATCCTCGTCTAAGAGAGAAAGTACCTAAAAAAAATAATATTGTTTGTTCTTAACACAACACTTCTATCACCAATTTGCGAATTCATTTTTCAAATGTATATGCATTTTAAATTGAATTTTACAACATAAAATAGGTTATTTCAGTGTCTATAGAGCTGCAGATTCAAATCCAAATAGAACTTCTACATTCTTTCGCATCATGGGTTTGCCTGGTTTGCTTTTTTTCGATATTTCCAATAATTTCGATCGCGTAAGCTCCCACGGAATCTGTTTGAAGACCGACGTTTTTATCTTGCTAGTCCTGGTTTGAAAATTGCAGGGAGTAAACCCCATTATTCACTTTGCTAAGTGGTTTCATATAATTAAGAAATTACTTTGCGCTTAGCGGATCCTGCATTACAATTTTGTTCACCATTTACTTTTTAACTGCCATTATGATGGGTGGCAAGCAAAACACTGATAGCCAGCTCGTTTGGCATTTAGGTATAGTTGGAAGCTCAGGCCAGAGGGAAAGCCAGCACTCTCTAGCTTCTTCTAGAGTAACTTTCTAAATTAGTCAGCCGCGGTCTGAATGAACGGTTCATCCTTTTCAGTGAATTCGACCCTGTTTTTCTATAATCAACTTTTTTTTTAGGAACGAATATGTATGCGGTAGAGTAACATATATGTGATGAAACTCTTAGCTTCTAACTAGAGCTTATAGCGCATTTAGCGCTTCTTTCAATGGCCAAGAATACGCGTCTCCGCTTGGTTTTCACGCTTGAATTTCCGTCACACTCCATTTTAGTTCCCAACTTAGATTTTTACAAGGGTGTCTGGCGCAGTACGCTAGGTTGTTCTCAGGAATTTCTGACCCATTATGCTATTTTTTCTTGTTAAATAAGGATTCGGGCAGATTTGGTAAAATCATTAGGGAGGAATTGAGAATTGGTTGGTAGCAGTCTCGAAGCAAAAAAAATCCAGCCATTCCTGCACAAGCTAAAATTATGCTTTTGTAGCACCGATCACACATAACTGCAGATTTCTTTTTTACGTACTAGATTTATGCAAGGACATTTAGTTTGTGTGCATATCCTTGGGTGGTAGCAGATGGCTTCTGACTCGTGACGAGTTTAACCGAAACCGGTTATAATAGAAATCAATTTTAATGCAAAAAAAAGTAAAATAAACAATGATAACGGTATCCTAAAGGATGTCTTAGGTTCTCTGTCGTCAACAGAGCTTCTTACAGGCTTTTTAAATATTTGCCAGCTAACAAGAATCGTATTAAGTCAAAACCTTAGCTGCCTTTAGTAATAAGGGTTTGATAGATGGCGGTGTCTCTCTTTTCTACCCGGAAGAAAGAATTTTCGAACTAAAGCGAACTTGGATTGCAATTTTGGGTTATCACATCCCGTATTCTTTAGATTAGGATGAGCAGGTCAACATACAAGGCCACTTTATTTTCACATGAATATCTTTCGCTTTAGCAAGGGAGAAACTATTCTGGGTCAGTTGAACCGTACCGTTTTCGTATTTGCTTCTAATACTGTCGTATAAAATAGTTTCACAAATGCGGGCCGAAAGCAATGCGGAAGATTTTTTATCGACAAAGAGCTGACTAAGGTCGATTCAATATGAAAATTACTATTTTTTCAACTTTAAGGTAGTGGTCTATAATTTGTTTTTTCAGTGACAAAATTATCTTAGCGATATTCGTAGGGCAAGAACTGTGAGGTCTGAGTAAAATATGTGGTTACAGAAACGTACGCACTGAAGTTGGGCAATTAAGATCATAACAAATGCTTTACATTAGAATGGAGCAAAGAGAAAAGTTATAATAGAGTGCAGGAAATCTTACAAGTTTTGATTTATTCAAGAGGCTAAATTTATATAATCTTAAATTATAATTTTACGCATTTTCTTTTCTCATTTTCAGTTTAGTAAAATCGAACTACATATATAACAATAAATCCCTTAGCATTCGGGAAAATTTCATTATTTTAAATAATACTGGCTATGTCATTGACCTCAGACGGATTTGACATGAGCCCACCCAAGAGACGAAATCAATGGCCGGCGGTCTCATTAGCTCTGCATGATTCTTTTTTAATTTTAAATTAGTTTTTTTCTGATTTATTAGCTGCAAAATATAGTGGCGACTTTTGTTTGTTATTCCGCTTTGCTAAATCTTCATATGCTTATGGTCAATTGTTATAAATTCCTGAAAAGCTTTTTCCGCTCTGTATTTTAGCTCTACGTTGTAACAGATTTGTCCGGGTTACAAAATTTTACCGTGAGTTTGGATTCTATAGACTACGCCACCGGGTAAATACAGAACTTGCGATATCAACTTCTCGCCAATATCAAAGTACTGCGGAAGCAACTCAGAAATTTGTTTCGCGTACGGTGAAGATTTTACACCTAGGAGATACGGGCTAATCTAACAATTACATTTTCACAAAACTTGTTCAGAGCTGTTTTTGTCGAACTGGCGCGGTGAAATGAAGTAAGTCCTTTACGTGGAACACGCGATGCGTAAACGAAGCATGCCATTTAGTAGGAATACTCTCAGTTATAGAGTCGTCGTTTTACGCTCCACACCCATTTTAGGGTTATTCTGGCAGCTTTTTAATTTGAACGTCGAACAAATAACACTTACCTATTTTTGAGTATAATACGTTACTTATATATATGATAAAACAAAAAGGTACAGGATCGGAACAGGAAAACAAGAACCGCCATTGCTTCTCGAACAACGTAGGGCAATCTATAGAGACTTCACAAAACGATTACCATCGAAAGAGGCAGTTTCACGCTACTAGTACTATTACTAGTACCAAAGCCAAACTGCTATTGTAACGCGATATATCTGTTGGTAAAACGAGTCTAACTATAGTTGTTAACGAGGTCATTTTAATGGTAAAAGGAACTTTGTATAAGCCAATTGGTGCACGTGCGCTTTGAAAATAAAAATTGCGTTTTTGTTGTCGCTCACATATTGCTCCTTTTTATTAAATGGCTTTCAACGAAATTTTAAGCGGGAAATAAGAAGTGCTTAAAAACAATTGCCGCTATGGCTGTATACTGTTAGAATCAAACAGACGTGCTGCCATAAAAACATAGGACACTTTTTTTGTAGTGGTCAACATTAACGTGATATTTTTATGCTGGAGGTGCCAGGTCCATATGTTATTATAGATTTTAGCTTTTTTATCATACATAATAGGGCAACTTAATATTTCTTATTTACAGGACCTTATTCACTTTCTTTTCATCCTGTCATCTAATTTGTAGCTTTTTAAATTGATAGAATTCAAATTTTGATTGGTTGACAGGAAATGTACAGACGACTCGATTTTTTCGCAATCGTTCGTTTACGTTACGTAAAAGAGCAATGACCCTTCTTAGCGATTCGCGTATGGATATACAATAGCAATGTATTAACTTTTTGTCTTTTCGTGCTCTATTTTATTATTTTACATAGAGCGTATCTTTAAGAAAAATCGCCACTCTCTTACGTAATGTAGGCGAACGCTGAGGAGCTTTATAGTCAGGAAATGGGCGTCGTCTGTACACTCCTTGTCAACAAATCGAAATTTAAATTTTAGCCCTGCTAACTGACATCTTTGTTGGCTATAATATGTATTATCTTATTCGCAAAGAAGAAGTGAATGTCGAATAATTATGAGTATCTATAAAATGGTTACTACTTTCAAAAAACGTGTTCTTTTTTAAAAATAGCGCTAAAAAACTCTTAAATTGTCTCTACCTATGTTTCGCACTCTCGTAAATGCTCGAGACTCCTTCTGTTATTACGTCATAAGCTTATAGTTGCTTTAATTTGGTAGAATACAGTCCGTGTTTCAAAGACGATCTCAAAACTGAGACATGTAACACCCGAGTAGAATAGTTTAGCATTTACGAGCAACTGTTTTCTTCTTAGAATAGATTTAGATAGTTTTTATGGACAAAATTGCGAAAAACACATCTGCATCACACGTATTATAGCTGGCATGCCAGGCTTATTTGAACAACATACATTTTACACAATCGTTATCTGCTGTTTTCGCATTCTATTAGAAGAAGCTGTCGTGAAGCTATGAGGCAACCTTTGGATTTACAAAACTGACCATACATCGTAACCAGTCGAAGAGAGGGTATACCGTCAAGCTTTGACAAAATTTTTGTATTATTTCTGAGATTTCGCTTAGCAGGGACAGACGTGACTCTTACGGCTACACCAAACTCGGCCTCCGTTAGAACTTATATGCAGTATGGCTCACTTATATATAGTAACGATTTAACGCCTGCTGAAGTTGTAAAGCTGGCCTTACCCCATAATGGTTCGAAAATAATGAGCGAAAACACACGTAAACCACTGAAAATCGAAGATCTACGGTTTATAATGCCGCTAACTTTAACACCAGGTTGAAAAGGAAAGTAACGATCATGTATATCAGTGGCCGAATACACAAGAACGCTGAGTGTTCTTATTTTATACCTACTTATCCTTTGTAACAATCGTACTGTGTCCACTGACTCCTAACAGGACGCTTAATACACTGTTCACAGCAATGGCTTGCAGAGTATGAAACCTATAGTGGCGCACGGATGCGTGGCGCACGGATGCGTGACGCCTGAATATTGTCTCACATTTGATCGCACAAAAGCAAGCAGGAGTTGGTATTCGTTTGTGCTGCAATATTTGTTATTAATAGCTTACTGTCGCACACCTTCTCGCCACTTGTTGTTCTGCTGCTGTTAGATGAGAAAGAAGGACGCGGCGAAACGGAGCAAGGATGAACATTCGTATCTGAAGCAAACACGTAAAAAAGAAGAGGGAAAAATAAATGTGAATGGCCGAAGCGTTGGGAGAGGGACCTGAGCATAAGTCCGGAGTTATTGCAGTCCAATGCTGACAGCTAAAAGATAACGTTGCACAACATGAGCTGTTATGCAACTTAGCAGTGAATTGATACAACACCATAATTACAGACCATTTTATATGTATAAGGTGTCCTTAGTTAGGAATATTCCGTAGCGTTCGGGCCCGACCCCATCTTACTCTAGAAGCTTTTTAATTCGACATAAATTAAATAGGGTTTCTTACTTGCCTCCTTCAAGCGTATTTACTGAGCCAAAATGATTCGAGAAAAACTAAAGTCCAAGAATCTACAGCATTATGTATTGTACCCACTAACTTTCTAGGCATGGCATGGTCTGGATGACCAAAGTCATGCCGCCATCGCTGGCTCAAATTTGGGTATTGGCAAATAGTTATCATGACATATGGTAAAAAAGTTGTCTTATAGGTCTGTTGGTGAAACGCCACCTCGACTAGACCTTCTAACGGGTGCAAGCACCTGTTGCTATACTGAAGACGTGCTTTACTATTATAAGAGGAGACTGGTGACATTAGAAGGGCCGGCCAATATAGTAATTATCTATGACCTTCCTTTTCGCTTCACTAAGAAACCAAACTGTCTATACCTTCTTCCGGATTCGAGCTTAAACCATCTGTGCCCCTTCGATTACTAGGCAAACGCGTTAATACTGCCCCATTGCGAGGATCAGAATTTAATTACAGTTGGACTATATGTGCGTGCAAGTTACTAGCGAACTGAGTATATGTTGGACAGCCTAAATCCAAAGCGTCATCTAATTTTTGTCTGACTCAGTAGTGTTCGCAACAACAACGAAAGAGACGGTGAAAATCGTGCCTCTAGTGCCTTTCCTTCTTTGGGGGCACAAGTCATGAAATATCTTCAAAAAAAGTTGTTCTTCCATACTTTCTCTATTGAGGTTGACATTTTTTAAAAGAAGATTGACTAGTCTTCGAAATAGCTAGGGTTGACATTGCTCACAGACAAGAGAAATAACGGCTAAAGCATAACGCTAAAAAACGGTCACCTGCTAAGGGAGATGAACGGGTCATAATTGTTCTTGTCTCTGCCCATTCTTTTGTTCTCTTCTAAAGACTACTTTCACAACCGTTATGACGTTCTTCGAATAGTTTTCTCAATGAAAACGTACCACTTATTTCTCATTATCCGTTGTCTGCTGCTCTGGCCCTCAATTTTTTACAGCTCGTACGATATAAGCGCCACTGTGAGCAAGGGAGCAAAAACTGGACGTTCCGAGTTTTGCAAGCCTGCTTCATCTTTTCAATTGAGATAATATAACAGCGACCATAATAACGTAGACTACGAATGTACAATAGAATAAACAATCATGGTTTATTTTAAGTCTAGGCCAAATAGGTAAAGGATCATGGATCCCGTTTTTGCAAGGAGTATAGAAAAGTAACAAATGCATATGTTAAAGCAAGTGATGACAAAAATTTTAATAAGCTTAAGTTTCCGACGAATTGGATAAACCTCGTGCGATTTATACTATTCCGGCAAGGCAATCTCAAAGTACCCAGATGAGATTTTAACCGTAATAAAAGCCCTGTAATTAAACCCAGCTACTAAATCAGGCACTACATATCTCCAGCCCCTACATTTATAGCGCAATTTTCATTAGCACGGCCACTTTCTTTCATATTCATGTCTACCAGCGGAAATTTCGAAAGCCAAAAAGTAAAAATGTCACTAACTTGTCTAAAGCATATGAAATTTACTTATTTATTTATTTATAAAAAAAAAAGTTTCTCTTGCGTTTTATTTCCAGAAACATCATAAATCTTATTTTTCGTCGATTTTTTTTAACCAAATCTCGTTAATCAACCAATTCCGGTGTATACATATTATCTTTGAAGGACAACAATTCTGTTAACTTTTTGAATACAAAAACTTAGTCAGCTTGAAGTTGGCCTGAAAGATTATACTTTTAAAAATAAGAGAGCGCATAGTGTGATAACAACGATGCCTCTGCTTTGATCGCGATAAGTTGATTGCCAACTGAACGTTTAAGGCCAAATCAATTAATATGAATCGTAATTTGTACACAAAACTGATCAGAAACACACCAAAGCAAAACTTGTACCATGAAACTTGTCCACACAGTATAAAGTTATACAGTCAATGTTTCCTTTGGGGCTATGATTATGCGCAAGTGATACTACCTTAAACGGTAAAAATACGGCCTTTGTGCCTTGTCGCCACTGAACTTATAAATTATGTGGCTATCAACAGTCTACTTGATGATGTCGTAAGGCCTCGAATATAGGTTGTCTATCCAGCTGATTGTTTGTGGTCAGCATAGTCAGAGATTCTGCGCATTGAGAAACTATACTGTAGTGGCATCAGCGTATAAGAGCATATAAACTGGGCACTTAAGTGCCCAGTTTATATGCTGGACGTCCGCTAGCCGACCTAGTTTAGGTGTGTGAAATCTGTGTGCTCCATTTACTAAAGATATCTGCTGCTTACGATTCAGTTTCTGTCATCAATGGTTATCATCAGTTATCTGAGCTGTCTTAAAATACGGACCAAGGAGTTCAAATGGTACGTGGGTCATTGGGTTCTGACACACAAAGTCTAAGTAAACTGAAAACATATCTGTGAATGTTCCGTAATTAAGAGATCAGGTACTCATGCTTTTTGGCATAGATTATCCGAAACATAATGACTTATTCCTAGTTAAGATGAAGCCAGAAAGAATTTTGCTGGTTGCCTCAAGTTATGCTGACATGTATCTGGGTGTAGAAGCGAAAGAATAATTAACTTTTCGATAAGTGAACACACCCACAAGTGAATAAGGAGTAGTTTCCTTCACTTCCTACAATTTTTGCCCATATCGCGTACCCCACGAAGGAGAAGCCTTCATTGTTAAGAGCAATCAATTTCTTGACCCATTTGCAGACTTTGGCCTCTGTTCAGTAATTTTTCTATAGCTATACTGCATTGATTGACAAAAGTGATGATCAGACGGAGGGATGTCCGCCCTGTACACCGGGCGGAGCAGAGTTCTTCATTAGAGATCTGTTAGCGCTCACTGGGTTACCCAAGCAGTATGTAGCGTAGCGTTATCAAGCAGCAATTTCACCTTACGCCGCCTTTTGCCGCTCCAAAATTTTTCTTCTTAATTTCATTGCTTAGACGGATTTGAGTTGCGCGATCCCTTGTGACTCTTTCCTCGGATTTGAGTGGTGGTACTTTTTTTTTTATCCAACTATATGCAAAGGCGCAGCGTTTAGCCATATTTCTTCGTAGCGTCGAATTGGAGAGATATGCAGGGTAAGATATTGTGGGAAATTCATCTTTTATCTCCGGCAAAAGTCTTCTACAGAGATTACTTTTTCTGTCGTGCTAGCCACGAAAGGAATTGTCAGGACGTTGAGATGTTTTTCTCTTTCATTTTGTAATATTTTTAGCGCATGGATTGACAACAGTCATTTGTGTCATCTCTAGCTGTGCAGAGAGCTCTCGGGTCATTTGCGTAGGAGTTCCTGCACTTCGTCGTCGTTGACTTATTGTTTGTTGTCTATGTGGAAACCTTTCGTTCGAAGGCCATTCGTCGCACCCTTTCAACTTCACAAACAACCGTTTAATATTCGCAGCAAACATTGAGCAAGTTACGATGTGAGCGAATTCAGAATAGAAGGAAATATATTTTCTCTTATCAGCAAGTTAATGTACTTTTAAGGTCCTTTGCACAAATTTGCAAGACTTTATCCATGTGAACACTGACGGGTACAAATGAGGGTTAATATTCCAGGATTTACTAAAATGTATGCCATGTTGTTGAACTTGTATTCATATCTATGTTTCTAATGTATTTCTTATTAAAACTTTTTTGGAAAAGCTTTGAGTGTGCAATTTTAGCCATCAAGCCACTAGACTTATTTTACACACATCGTAGTCCGGCATATTAAATTCCATTGTTTCCTCAGTTATCTTCTATACATTCCATATTGCAATGCTCAGTACCATTATTAAGATGACACGATGAGCTGACGTATGCTGATATGTTTAGTTTTAGTTTATGCAATTGTAAATGCTACACTTAAAACTATGCAGAAAGAGTTACTTTTTATAAGATTGGCGTAATATAGCAATTTTTACAGTATACAGGGTTCATACCTTTAGGGGCAACTGGAGTTTCTGGTTTGGACTGCCGGGATACTTTATTCCTGAAGACCTTATTGGTTTGGCTTTCACGTGAACACGTGAAAGAAACGTGGCTAGCTATGATAAGACTTTTCGCCATCAGAAGCGAGTATCTACGAAAGAAACATGGACCATCAATTTCGTGGTCTAGTAGGTCATTAACGTTACAAAGGAAGTTCTGCTTAAGTTTAGGCACCGAGACCATCTGTCGGACGAGCAGTGGGACACCTCTCACCATCTGTTCTCGAGGGAGCAGAGGCAAAAAAACAACGAATGGCTCAAGCCAACTCTTCCGATGAATATTAAATAAAGACTAAAAGGTACTTTGTTTCCGCAAAGTGAACGAGGGATAAGAAGCAGTCAGGGTTATAGAAAAATTTGAATGGCAAGGTTAACTCGCGAGATTTTGACAGATGATCAAGTTGGATGGGTGAAACTTGAAAAAAGCGTTGTATACTTGGTAAAAGTAGAGGACGCGGTGATGGCTGTGCAGCAATGGGTAAGTGTCCACTGTGTACTTAGCTACCTTGGTAACGAAGAGGATCTTAGCGATATTATGTTGGGGTTCAGAACCAGTTTAGTGCGGAAGTTTATCGGTAGCGAGGGCGTTGGATT